CCCCAAAACCCCAAAACCCCAAAACCCCAAAACCCGAAGAAAATTGGTAGAAATTGACTATAAAATCTCACTGAAAATGAAGCCGGCCAGAACTTTACGTAAAAGAGACAAAAAGAAAAGTATGAAAGAAGTAGAATCAGAAGAGGAATTTGAATACCAAGATACACCTCCCAAGGAGAAAGACAGGGCTCCACAGAAAGAGGAACAGAAGGAGGGACAGAAAGAAGCTCTGAAGGAGACCCAAGAGCTAGAAATCCCCGTTAAACCTTGTAACCAACACGAGGTAGATATCACCTTTCTGGAAGCAACAGTGGTTGATCTGCAGGAGGAAAACCAAACCCTTAAATACTACATTAAGGATCTGGAAAATAGGCTCAAAAATGAAGGCCAAGGTAAGGACTCTAATTTTACACAATCTTTCTTATTAATAATCATAGATCCTGAAAATTGGAAGCAGTATTATTCAGCCAAAGATTTGTTGTATGATGCTAAATCTCTAAGTAGTGAAAGTTTCAAGTGTCTTGAAGGCATTATTAAAGCTCTTCGAAAAGGCTTACTTAAAAATATCAAAATCTCTCACTCAGAAAGTATACCAGACTCGATTCAACAAGCTTCTAGGTGCATAACTTCAGTGAATGAAGGAGTAAGCTCAGTGAAAAGAAGAAGGCTCTCTTGTTCAGATTTTCGGAAGAGAATGCCTGATAGGGCTTCATCTGATGAAGAGATGAGACAGAATAATTTTGAAAACGAAGACCCTTTCTCCTTCGATTACGAGAAATACAAAGATAACTCTCCAGTGCCAGTCTGAAGCTACATGGAAGCATCTTTTGGCAATCTCTGAAACAATTTTGATCAAGATTTTCAAAAGTTGCTTCGCTATCTAGAATGTGCTCAGACAGCGAAGGTAAACTCTTTCTCGACTTTTTCGCTAAATCAAGACTTAATCTACCAACAAGTTTATAATATGATTGTATTTCTGAGTAAACACCGTGAGCTGATCAGCCAGATCAATTTGTTAAAAGACCAGAGTGTTGAATTCCTGAACTTCTAAGAAAATGGTCTATCAGATTTTAGTCATTAACTACTGAAGTCAACAGTTTCTAAACTAAGACAGATTTAGGATTTTGCGGAGTAAAATCTGTAGCCTAAAATAAGACACTTCAATATGCTTTTACCGTGTAGGGGTTTTGGGGTTTTGGGGTTTTGGGG